ATACATGTGTCTAATTAACATTTACCTGGTCCTTCTTGTCCAGTGCCAGAGTCATTCCCTCTGCCATTTTGGCTCTGTTAGCCTGGTGAAACTCATTCTGCTCTTGAAGCTTTTTTATGGAAGCTAGGCAGAAAAGGTGAAATAAAGTAAAACAAAGAGTACAACTTAAAAGAAGAAAAAACAAAGTTGACTGCAAGCAGGAAGTAAATATAAAACAGCAATTGCCAAAAAGCAAAAATTGTTACCATTTTTGAAAAGTGAAAGTATTAGACACGATCCAAAGCAAAGGCTGACAAATGACCATACATGCTTTTGCCACACTTGATCCTGGCCTATTTTATTGCTGAAGATAGCATGGCAATGTGTTGTACAATCATGACGTGTTAGGATTTGGACAATCGTGACAGTCACCTAAAACAAGCAGGTACCGGTGCATTATGTGATGGATCGAATTAAGTCAGATCATTTGGTGGGGTGAAAGCAGCATGAGAAAAGCTGTGGTGCCACTGAAACATTGGGGAAATTCTTTTGGTTTTTAAGAAGACAATACTGATAGTAGATCAATCCCAATAATGCCAAAACTGCTTAAAATGAGTTTCTTTCACACACTAATGATTATGGACTAACCAACGATTACAGCAATGTGAACTGTCTGAGGCAAAATGACTCTATTTTTGCAAATGAAATATAAAAGGACATCTGATTGTATGCACTGTACAAACGAATAGAGTTATCTCATTTGCCCTTGTGTATACACACACACACAATATACTGGACATTGCCAATATAAAAATAAAACTTTGCGATCTCCAGTCAGTAGCATGTCACATTTGCAAGCTGAGCCGTGATTGGTTGCCACCTGAGCAACTGTGATGTCATTTTCAATTGACAGCAAGCGGGTGGATTTCGCTGCTGAATTTATATTCCACAAACACAATAATAATCATAATGTGGCATCAGAGGAATTATGTTAGGCTGCATAAAACTTTTTACTGTAAAGAAAATGTTTGACTTGACTTCCCCTTGAATTTGGGTAATGGATTACAGTACAGCGAGTCCTAACTGACGGCCAATCGGACTCTAGAGCTCGGCGCCGGTGACATTTTTGGGGTCTACCACTTGATTTTTTTGTTTCATAACCCTCAGGATCTTTCAAGAAGTTTTAACCATCTTTCTCAATCAAACCTCAGCAACAATAGCCTGTTACGCAAGGCCTTTCTGATGCATATCAATGATCCAGGCACGTTCAAAAAGAGAACAGTCTTGTTGCCTTTGCCATCAAGGTGTTGTGACAGTGTGAATACCTGACAGAAAAAAGCATACACAAATTACCTGACAGTGAATCCATACAGATTTTGGCTTTTACAAGTTGTGAACTTTTGATCAGCTGAAGAACAGCCTATTTCCGTTCTTTGCTGGCAAAAAATTGCTTAGTACCGGTACTTTTTTTTTTTTTTTTGTCTCACTCCCATTTCTTCTTTTTGCATTTTGAAGCTGTACTTAGAACTCAAATTTCATTGTACACTACAATAATAATAAAGATAATCTTATGTACTTTGATCCGGATCCCTAATCAAAAGAAAAAAAAATACATCATCCTTGTTATATTATGAGCAGACGCCTTGCTTCGAGAAATATATTTGTGTTGTCAGGTACGTCTGGACTGACATAAAAGCAGGCTGTCCGAATTTTTAACAAGATGAGGAGAGCCAACTAAGCACTTTTATTCAAAGCAAAACTTTTTTACTTGTCTCTTTTAAGGAAGTGGCAGAAGAGAAGAAAGCGCTGCATGCTTACATACTGGCTTATGATCAGAAATCAATGAAGCACTCAGCTCACATTTAAATCTTAACACACCTGTATGAAAAAAAAAATCACTCAGTAAATCAAAGCATGCAAAGCACCGCTTGACCACAGCCATTTTGCCCCCGGATAATTAAGAAGGACGTTTAAAGATCTTTCAACATGACCACAGAAAACATTTACAAAGCATCTGATAGTAGCACATGAAATGGAAGAACTCATTTTGGGGAAAGGGGGTGGAGCAGTATGTGGTTAATACAGCTGATAGACAGATAAGACAAAAGTACTGTAGCTCACTGGCAGGAGGAGGGGAGCGAGAGGAGAGGTACGTACAATCCTGATGGTTTTCTAATGCAATTTCAAGCTTCTCCTTGGTCTTCTGCATTATTCGCAGCTGCTCAGCGTAGTCTAGTGTTGTTGGGACGCAGGGAGATGAAATGGATTATCAATGGCACACGCGCGCAGACACACACAACACACACGAGGGAACCGGAACAGCATGATAGAGAGGACAAAAGAACAAAAGAAGAAAACAAAAGGGAAATGTGATTGACACATAATGAAAAATCAACCTACCAATGATTTCATTCTGTGAGGAAATCATTATCAAAAAACAAAACAAAAACAAAAAACAACAAAAACAAAGAACTAGCATTTCTCCAAATCTAAATGCTCTGGTCTGTGCGAGTACACAAATTATTCAAATATAATCATGACAGTTATTACAAAAGAAGAAAAGAAAAATTGCAGCATCCCATGTGGCACATGTCAGCAGGGACAGAGGCAACATTTCATTCTTTTGTGTCTTGTCCGCTGTATGGCTTTCAAATGGACTACGTTTGTAAGAATGACTGACACCTGAATTCTTGCAAGCGTTCAACCTGGTTTCCCGTCTGATTTGATTTTGTTCATCAGTTAGACTTGCAGATGTTGACAACCTCATGAATGTTAAATATGCTATTTCTTTATTCCTTCCTAAAGCATGTTAGTATTGTTTTTTTTTTGGTTTGGTTGCTCTGGTTTGGTCAGAAAAATATGTTCATCAGTAAGTAATTATTAAATGCTCAAATGAATCCTGTGGAGGGAGAATAAGACTTTCAATAATTCAGTTAACAAGATGATCCATGACCGAAGATGTGCTTTTTAATATTTAAAACACATGTGGGGGTAGGTTTTCAACATCAGTCAAACTTTGGCTACAGCAGGATATTAACATCTTTTTTTAACATTGCCCCATTCACTAAAAACACAATTCAAATGCAAATTACAATGAATGCCAGAAAAGACAGCACAGTGCACAGTGAGGAAAAACAAGTGACTTAATATACCACAAAACCGATTTTCCAAAAACATTGCGGCGGGATGAAACCTCAGATTCAAGAAATATTATTGATGGCATCTGCTGGAGACACACAGACACGTGCACACATACAGGTCTTTGTTTTAAAAAAGAATTTCTACTTGTCTGGCATCTGCTGTTGGCGATGAAAAGGTGCCAAACGGTTTTCAGACAAATAATGAATGAATAAACAGGACAAAAGAAGAATGTGCTGTGGCAGGAGGGAGATGAGTTGACTGCATTTGCAGAAGTACAAATTTTACAGGACATTTTCTCATGATGTCATCTTTGTATCTATGGTGTACTCAAAAACAAAATACACCCACAAATGCGGGCCATTTCTTGCAAATGAGATTCGCCTCTGTGCACATTAAAAAAAATCTTTTTAAAAGTTCATTTCAATGTTTTCAGTGAAAAATGAATACATGCCTGCAAAAAATAAGTGACTACATCATAGTCAAGCAAAGCCACATTTTACACTAAAACGCATAATTACCAAGAATCTGATCACGAGTCAAATCACCATCAATATTCTGAAACGTTTTCACCACCGAGAATGGTCACTATATATATATATGTATAGAACTATGACATAGACTATTAGGTTCTTAATTCAAATACAAAGTCACGCACCATGAATCATATCTCTTGATAAGAACTCACTGCCCTAAGCAAGCAGGGTTTTGCATCAGAAAATCCATCCATTCATTCATGTTCTATACTGCTTTTGTGAAATTTGGGCGAGAGGTGGTTTACACTGTGTATTTTTCAATAGTCAATCTCCTGGCACATAAATACAAACGAGTATTCACGTTCACATTCACATTGATGGACAGTTCAGCGACTTTGGTGAACAAAACATGCATGTTTTTGGAATGTGAGAAGAAGCTGAAGTACGACGTACCACAGAGGTCGGCTGGATCCGAAATTCAAACCACAAATTTCCAAACTGTAATAAACGCCTTATTTGTTGTATTCCCATGATTTAGGGTGCTGTTCTATTTACAAGCTTCTGCTTAAACCTCTATTTCAAGACCTGCCCCCTCATATAACGATGGAGTGAATGTCCCACCTGATAGCTTTGCCTCTAGTTTGCGCATCTGATCATTCCTCCTGAGCAGTAGGGCAGGCAGGTCGTCCCTGGAGCTGCTCCCGTCAGATGCCTGGGGACAGGAAGACCGCACAGTATTATATTTGAGAGTGAGCAGTAGTTTTAAACAACTCAAAATCCACTCCAATGCCTATTTTTCCACTTTTTTACTCAAAACGCATTAAAATGGCAAAGGTGCGTGCGTACCTATAAAGTAAAAAATATTAGTACTTGCATAGTTCAATAAACAAATAGTGTTGTGTATACTGTACTTGGCATCAGTCATTGGACAACCGTAAATAATTTATGCAGGATCAGTTAATCTTGTACTTATGAATATGGCTTTCACTGCTGGGAAAAAAATGGTAACTATGAAAATTCAAGGCAAGTTGCATGAACACGGACAATTGTCATGATGGTATTTACTTGGAACAGTAACATCACACTCACAGCAGCATTTTGTCAAGTTAACACATAACAATATATCAACAAAAAGGGAAACAGAAACTAAAGCAGCATTCTTCTTTCTTTCTTTCAACCAGTGTTTCAACGTAACAGGATGCATTCAAGAGCTTCATATTCCATTTCAGGACTCAGGTAACAATATCCTGATGCACGGCAAGCACTGAATGCTAGAGTCCAGCCCTTTAAGTCATCCCTGTTGCTGAGAAAGGTCACACCCAACTAAATGTCTGACTTGTTATTACTATTTCACGAGCGTTAATGTCATCCTTATTCCAGGAGTCAATTTGTGCTTGTGCAGCCTGAAGATGTGGGAAATAAAGAACTGTACAAGAAAAAACAAATATGTGAATTAAATAAAACAGAACTATTTTGGAAAATGGGCAGCGTGGTTAGCACGTCCGTCTCACAGCGCAGAGTTGCAGTGTTTGATTCTGGCTGAGGCCTTCCTGCGTGGAGTTTGCATGTTCTCCCCATGCATGCGTGGGTTTTCTCCGGGTACTCTGTTTTCCTCCCACATGCCCGACAAAAGGGAAAAGTACGTTGGCACTAAATCAGGAATGACGATCAAGGGCGACAAATGATTTATCCACATCACCCCAAGGGTCAGACTGTGAAAATGCAGCCTTTATGCCACAGGTGTGTTTCAACACTTTTACTTTTCCCGGTGAAACTGTTCACATTCATTGATAAAAAAGTTATGCTTTGGTCAAATTTTCTTAATTTCTTGGCAAGAGGGCAGCAAACATCTGACACTTTGCATATTGGGCCCGTATTGCGGATCTCGGGATCCCTGTTGTTATGTGCTCATCTCGTACCTGGGGAGATCCGATAGAATGGCCGAGCACCTGTTCGAGTCGATGCCTCACAACACCGACCAGTCTAGCTAACGGACTTCGTGCATGGCTGACGTACGCCCCAGATGACCCCAATCCAAAAATTATTCTCGCTCGCCAGCTGTGAGCAGCGGCTGCTAAGATTGATGACCTTTTTTATTTCCCTCTGCAGGTTATTTTTTTTTCAGATTCAGATTCAGAAAACTTTATTTATCCCCGTGGGACAATTAGAGTTGTGCGAGAGCGGCTTATTATGGGGACAGTCAGAGCAAAGGAAAAACATAGGATGAGAGTAGCTTAGCACTTGAGGTCTTGAGGTAGTGGCTCAAGCAACGAAATAGTATTGCACATCGAGCAATATTGCACAGTAAAGACACAGTAAAGACAGTATTGCACATGAAAACAGTATTGCACGTCAAAGTATTGCACTGTAAACCCGTATTGCACAATGGGGTGTGCGAGTCTGTATGTTGGGGGAGAGGGGGTGTCAGGGATTCTTGGAATAAGAGTTTAAGAGTTTAAGAGGAGAACAGCCTGGGGGACGAAGGTGGATCTCCTCCTCGCTGTCCTGCAAGCTGGGAACCGCAGCCTGCGGCTGGAAGACAGCCATTCGAACGCGGGGAAGAGAGCATGTGAGGGGTCCTTCGTGATCTGAGCAGCCAGACCACGAATCTGCTGCTCACACACTGCAATCAGAGGGCGAGTGGGAAGTCCGATGATCTTGGAGCACACTCTGCTGATGCTGTCCAGGCGGTTCTTCTCCTGCAGACTTTGGGAGTGGAACCAGCAAGCCATAGAGAACGAGAGGACGGACTCTATGAATGCCTGGTAGAAGGTCAGGAGGATTTTCCTGCTGACGGAGAAGGAGTTCAGTTTCCTGAGCAGGTACATCCATCGCACCACTCGAGGAACTGCTGCAGGGCGGGACCATGGTGTTGCGAGGAGCCGGAGAGCAGAGACACTAGGACAGTGTCGTCAGCGAACTTCACCAGGTGGCTGTTGGGGTGTGAGGACCTGCATTCATCCGTGTACAGGATGAAGAGCAGTGGCGAGAGCATGCAGCCCTGTGGGGAACCTGTGGAGGTGGCGAGGAGGTCAGACAGGTTGTTGTTGATCCTGACTCTCTGTGTACGGTGCGTGAGGAAGTCCAGGATCCAGAGGATGAGTTGGTTGTTCAGGGAGAAGTTCTGCTTGAGCCTCTGTGCCAGGATGTGAGGCTGCAGGGTGTTGAAGGCAGAGGAGAAGTCAGCAAACAGAAGCCTGGCCAGGGTGTTGGGGAATTCCAGATGTTTGTGAATGATGTTGATGATGAAGGCTTTGGCATCATTGACACCTTTGCCTGCCTGGTATGCAAATTGGAGGGGGTCAAGGCGTGAGCTGGTCTTTGTGAGGATGTGCTGCTTGACGATCCTCTCCATGACTTTCATCACGTGGGAGGTGAGGGCCACAGGGCGGAGGTTGTTCAAGGTCTTGGGGTAATTGTTCTCGGGAATGGGGGTGATGGTGGAGTGCTTCCACAGTTTAGGGACGGTGACGGTGTTCATGGAGGACTGGAATAAGAGCTGGAAAACGCTCCCGAGCTGGTCAGCGCAGTACTTGAGGACCCGGCCACTGACGTTGTCGGCTCCTGGTGCACTGTTGATCTTGGTCTTCTTGAGGGCCCTCACAACGTCCTCTGTGCGGAATGTGATTGAGGAGTTGCCGGGCCGGAGGTGGGATCTGATGTTGGTGAGCTGCGTGGAGTTATCCGTCTCGAACCTGGTGTAGAAGGAGTTGAGGTCATTGGCGAGGGAGGCTGGGCTGCTCCCAGGGATGACGGTGGGGGCGGTGCTGGTGATGGTGTTCACAGCTGCCATTTTCTTCAGGCCCTGCCAGGCTGCACGGAGGTTACCGCCATTAAGTTTCTCCTCCACCTTGCGCTTGTATTGCAGCTTGGCGATCTTGATGGCTCTCTTGACCTCCCTGTTGATCTCCTTTTTCTCCACCTCGGTACCCGAGAAGAAGATGCGCTTTTTCCTGTTGATGATCTACTTCAGCTCCTTGGTGATCCAGGGTTTGTTGTTGGGGAAGATGGTGACAGTCTTGGAGGGGATGATGGTTTCCTCACAGAAGCGGATGTATGAGGAGACTATATCCACCTGGACATTGATGTCGTAGGAGGGGGAGAGAAGTTTGCACCAATCCGTGGACTCTAGGCACCCCTGGAGGGCGGTGATGCTCTCCTGCGTCCACTGTTTGATGGTTTTGGTTACCTTCTCTACTCTCCTTATGGCTGGTCTGTAGGCCGGGAGGAGCAGGACGGTGTGGTGATCAGCTGAGCCGAGGGGGGGAGGATGGCGGGCTTGTATGCATCAGGGATGGAGCCGTAGCATTTGTCCAACGTCTTCCCCTGGCGGGTGGTGCATGTGATGTACTGCACCACCCGCCAGGGGAAGACGAATTACAGCACTACATGTCAGACCTGATTGGCAAAGGTATCCATGGACTCACTCACTCAGAGAGGTTGAAGGATACAACCATTCCACTAGTTGCCATGCCAGATCTCAAGGGTCAAAATAGCAAAATTGCAAAGCGCTGTCAAACTAAATCTGCAAGGGGCTATAGTATTGTAAATGGTTTGACCTGACGATGGGCACTTGCAATCAACTCTATGCAACTGTGACTGCAGCCTCAAAGTGTACAGCTTTGTGCCTTTTACTCTCGCTTTTGTAAAATTAAAACAAAGGAGCTCTTAGCAATCATCATTTATTTCTGCTGTATATGAGAATCAAGACAGTAAAGTAAAGCTGGTGTCATACAGAGTGGTGAAATCTTGCAAGCGTAGCAAATTTAGAGTTTTCTTTGGGGTTCATAAAAGGCTTGCAGGCAGTTTTTACTTGCCGCAACGTTATTTTGAGCAGGTTCAAATTTTTGGTTCAAATTGTGGAATCTGAATTAAGATGAAAAATAAATCTGTTTTTATCCATCTCAAGGGGCATTGCCAAGTTGCCACTTGGCGTCAAGTGAAAGTCGCATCACAGTGTCTAAGAGCTCAGGTAACAACCGTCACGGCTCACCTGTTTTCTAAGTTTGGTCATGTGACATTGGCAAACTGAGCCCTTAGGCACTGCAATGTCATTTTCAGTCACCAGTAAGTGACAAAATGCTCCACACCTCCCAAGTTGTATAAAAACTGGTGTATTTTGCCACTTAATTCATATTCCACTAATGCAATAATAATCAGAATGGCATGTTTGGACTACTCCGGACACATGGAACATATTCACAATTTTTTCTTTTACTTTACTTCCCCTTTAAAGATAATGTACCAGGGCAACGAACCATGAAAAAAGACAACAATCTTAAAGAGAACTTACAAAGTCATCCCCTGAGTCTGCCCCCATCGAGGTGATTGATTCCTTGCTGATAGTACGGGGTAATCGAACACCGCTCCGTGGGGCCGTGGCTGCCTCTTCTGCAATCTTTTTCTTCAGCTTGGCAAACATGTCTGTATGAGCAGCGACTTCCTTAACAGAAGCTCCTAACGAGTATGGAACATCACACAGTCCAGGGAATTTATTGCCCCTTTGCTGAATAGTCACATGTCCTTCTGCAGTACCCCTCAAATGAAGAACACCTTAATATTACCATTCCGCCACATCTGGGGAGGAAAAGAGAGAGAGATATTTCTTTCACAAGTCCAATCTGATAGCACTTCACATAAAACACAAATATTGTAAATACCACTTTTAAAGAGTATCACAGTAAGGTCAACACAGCAGATTGTAATATGTGAAGCAATTATGAATGACCAGCAAGGTGCAAATATCCATCCATCATCTGAACCGCTTATCCTCAGGAGGCTCGCGGGCGTGCTGAAGCCTATTTCAGCTGTCTTTGGGCAGTAGGCAGGGTACACCCTGCACTGGCTGTCAGCTAATCACATATGGTTAAATATTTTATTTAGCAATTCCGTGATACATTGAAAAGATAGTACATTAAGTTTTGGGAAATGTGACTTCTGAACCATGTCGCTGGTGTTTTAAGTATGACATTTTAAGTGGATCTGACTCACGGATTATATTTTACACGCTGTGCAATAAACGGAACCAAATATCTGGGTTCAGATTAACGGTAACAAGGGCTTCTGGAATAACTTTATGAATCGGTCGATAGAATTTGTTGAGTCTGTTTCACTCATATGACACCATCGCAATTTCTAATCATGTATGTAAATGTCGGGTGACAGCTTTAGCTTCGTTGTCGGAATTTTGTTCAGTCATACTTTATAAACAAACAAGATGTGTGTGTGGAATGTAGGTAGATTGTTAAATTGTTTGGCAAAAAGCTAGCCACCTCGCGCAAAAGAGGTCATTCGCTATTCATAACAATGAAAGTTAACATTACAACCACCGAGTAAGGTTAGCAATTGTTAGCTTGTTTGCTCTTTAGAGTGGACTTTCTCTCACCATAACAACTCCAAATTTAGTTGGTGAGGTTTTCTCGTGGTTGCTGGGTTCGCCTTGTCTGCTCCAAGGAAAGTGTCACTGAGATACTCGCCAGGTGGCTTTTTCGTCTGTCAAGCTAGCCAACCCGGGTCGGTGAGCTACACGTAATCGCCCAACACAGATGACCGATGACATCACGACTGAACTTCCTGTTCATTGGAGAGGGGCGTGGAAAAAAATCCAAGATGTGCCTCCAATTGGTGAGAGAGGTAAACGCACCATTCCCTGCCGGATGCAGAGCGCATTTCGAGGTGTGGCTCGTCGTCGAGTGGATTTAAACGTTTGACTCCGCTGACACGGATTCCAATCGCCTCTTTCGTTCTTTCTTTCAACTATTTCCTTGTTGGTTTGAATTATGCGCCGTTTGCGACGTCACGCTTACTTTTCACACTTTATTGAACATCAACAACAAAATTAACAACCTCTCAACCCTCAGTCAGTCTGGGGGAGGGGGGGGGCTAACTGAACTGTTAGACAGGAGTAGTCGATACGGCCATTTGACGTCCATTCTGGGTGAAGAGAGAGTTGTAGAGCCACTGAAGCTCGTCAAGCATGTTCAAGGCCATTGAAAATAGAGTAGGGGTTTTGACGGTGATTTTGAATGTTGAGGCCATTGGGTTAAAAAGTTGTGGTTAAAAGACGTCTCCCCTAAGGAATGAGTGGGATGAGTGTAGTACCATATGTCCCCAGCAGAGGATGGCTGAGGTTACTAATTGGGTGTCACCGTGTCAATCAGAATCCAATTTGCATTTTTCGATGTGAAATTACGCTCTGAAACTGGGATTCATGCTGCATTCGAAGAAGGTGGGAAATACGACTTTTCTGACTTCCGATTCGGAAAAGTGCACGGAAAAAGGCCCGTTTACCTGGGAAGTCCGATTTGCGAAGTGAGGAAAAAAAGAAATTATGAAGAATGTTTACTGTAGGTCATAATGTGCTGTGGTGAACCAAAACAACAAATAATTTTTTGGTGTTAGGCATCTTTGTTGTTTACATTCGCCTTTGTTTCGGAACTGAGATAATTCGATTGGGATATATCCGACTTCCCCCCTTCCTCGAATGCAGCGTTACTCAGTTATTTCAGATTCGAATTATCCATACGTATTGCTACTTAGACGAAGGTGCGATGTGGCTGAAAAATGTTTCATGATATAAGTAGATACCCGTCGCGATCGATGATTATCGACTATTTCTATTCAAAATACGAAAATGTAATTAATGGATTAAAGATCTAATACAACTCAGTGTAGTACAGTGAAGTGAAAGAGTTCCTTCTCAATGACGTGTAAGCTTCGGTGTTAGTAGCCCCGACCCTCATACATCACACTAAAGTCCCAATCAGTTTAGTAAAACAATAAAATGTCCTATGGTAGTAATGAGCCCGTTAACAAATTAAATTAGACGCAAATGCACGCGCTCCAAAGGAGTATGAGTTCGTGAGGTTCTTTTACACCAGGAAGAGGGAACTCCAGTTCCTCGAGATCCATATCGTGTCTATTTTAGATCTCTCTGTACTTCAACACACCTGATTCATAAGATCAGCTCATCAATTGACTCACGTGTTTGAGTTGGGAGAGATCGAAAACACGTACGACATCGCTCTCGAGGAACCGGAGTTCCCTACCCGTTTTAGACGCCACACTTACAGTGTATGAACAGCAAATGATTATGGCACTGCTGGGTGAGAATGGATTGCATATTACTTTACGGTGCACATAGCGTACATTCTATTAACATTTGTTTTGGTACCATTTATTTTGAAAGTTTTTCATTCTCTGAATGGTTGCGTTTTGTGTCCACACGGAAGTGTTTAATCTTATGCAAGTGACGCCCGAAGGCGACTGGTAGTTTATTTCAAATAAAAGCGACCTTCGTGCGTTGCGCTTCTGTATCCCACCGCACACCCACATCATGCGTGTCTTCGCTGGTTCGGCGGCTTCTTGTGCAAGAATGGTTCTTACCGTCCAAAACACGCTTTTGTGCTCCAAATGTCCTCTTACGTGCTTGTAATTGTGACACAAATTTAGTACCATACTGTAGCCATATAATGCCTTACAGTTGGTTCATCGGGGCTTACGTCCTGAGGGTTATTCTATCGAGCAAATACTTTTTTTTCTTTCTCTGTATTCATCACGTGTTGACAGCAAGACATTTAATGCCATGTCTTACTCAGATGTCATCTTATGTTGTGTCCAATGCTGATTAAATTTCGTGTTCAGTGTTGTACATGTTATGAGGGTATAGTCACAATTTGGTGTAACCTATCTGGGTTTGTAAATGATCATGTTCTGTCTGTTTGATTTCACCTGCCTTCATAATATTCTGTTTAAGAAATATGTATTTCACTGTTAACATTTCAAATAGGTGGAACCTTAAAGGATAACTTTAAAACTATTGCTGCCACAGCAATCCACATCACGCATGAGCTCTAAAAAAATACATATTTGTCCCTCACACATGTATTGGCCTGACAGTACCGCATTTTCATTGTTAAAAAATATCAGTATGGTAACAAAATTGACAAATATAGGAGTTTTGTGGTATCAGAATTCACAACACTTAATACATAGTGAACAGACGCAGAGCCGAGGATGAGCAGTTCCACTATATCCACTTTCATAAAAGATAATTGTTTCTGTATGTATGTTGCAGAATAACGAGACACCGGACACAAGAGTGTTCGTTAATGTGCCGCTGTATTCGAAACTGCCGGCCGTACAAACAAGCGCACGTACTTCGCCCGTGCTGCTGGGGCAAACCATTATGAAAGAGGGGGGTTTCACTCCCCCTAACAATAATCCTCCACAATTAAACATGCTACAGTATATGTACATCATTTTTGTTGCTTTGTCATTCTCTTTAGCAAAGATAGCAATTATGAAATTGTCGTGTTCAAATCATTACAACAGGAATTAGTTCAGACGAGTAAATCTTTATTGTAAAGTAAAACAGAGATCTGCACATATGAACATTTTACAACGGTCAGTTGACCTCAGCAAACAGATTCTAGCTTACTGAGCTGTGAAATATCTTTGTGATTTAAGCCCCAAGTGAGAACTGAATGTCTGTGAGAAGTTACAAGTCTGTGAGACAGTTTAGCGCATCACTGCTTCAGTGAAAAATAAAATAAAAACAATTACACTAAAACAGCAGCTCACATAGCAGTATCAACCTTCCATGTACGTGAATGTACAGTATTCCATATTTGGCTGTTGTTTTTTTTTTTTCCATGATTGAAATATCAAAAGTCCAAGCTGCTGTTTGAGCAGTCAGAGATCACGTGGTTCTTGCCAATTCACATGGAGAAATGTAAAGAGAAAACAAGAGGGGGATAAAGACATTGTAAGATTTCGAAAGGACTGCAATAAACAATAACAAAGAGATAACGAGAGTAAGATTTCAAAAGGACTGCAATAAACAATAACAAAGAGATAACGATTGATGTCTAGTTCCCATCCATAATTGAAATTCTAATGCAATGGATAATGCTAAATGTGCAGAAGAAAGCTATGTTGATAACATGTAGCTTCTCGCAAACTTCCAGGTTGAGGTGAAGGGCTTCCGATTCAAGCTGCAGATACATGGCTTTAAATGTACAGAGGGGGGAAATCAACAATAGTTGGCACTGTAAATACTTTATATTTACACTACAAAAGTCATACAGACTCACAAGTGCTGTCGCCACTCTCCTTGGTGTCTTTGCACTAAAAAAAAAACAACAACTAAATGTTTTGGATTTCATCATCTTACAGGAAATAAGGTGTTGTTGTCCGAGGTGGGATGACCCTTTCAGAATCAGGCACTGCTCTGAAGAGCTTTGGCTCTCTTGTGTTAGCATCTTTGAAGACCATAATGGAGGCGATGTTGCCACAGCGATAGCAGTAGTTGGGAGCTGACCACACCGTGACCAGCTTCTCATCAAACATAAACTTGTAGCCCTCATGGACCAGTTGATGTGCCCGGCAAATCAGCTTCAGATTGTTGATGTGGACAAACTGCAGGGTTTTGGTAAGACACACAAATTAAGAAATATTAGGAGGGGAAGAACACATCAGGCGAGAACACATATCTGGAGCTAAAATACCAATTATTTGAAAGCTGCTATTAACAAAGAAGAGGAAACTACGGTACAACTTGAAATTCTTCAAATCATCACAATGGGGAAACGGTGGAATACAGTGGTGGGAAAGCACGTCAGACTCAAAGTCGAGAGGTAATGGGTGCGAATCTATGTGGAGTTAACATGTTCTCCCCATGCTTGGGTGGATTTTCACCGGGTAGTCTAGCTTCCCCTCCCCCACATTCCAAAATTGTGAATGTGTAACAGCATAATAGTATCTTGTGCATCTCTGGTAGCTGTATTTTTAATGGATGGATGTCTTGGTTCTGGTTGGGCCTTTCCGAAATTTTTGATTTTCTTCTGGTGAAGCCATTCCTTCCACTTATGATAAAAGATTTGGAGCAAATTTTACAAGATGTGTTTCGATAGAGTATTACAGACCCCAATGAGGTCGGGACATCATGCCAAACGTAAATTAAAAACACAACACAATACTTTGTAAATCTTTTTGTTCACAAGCAAGAATGGGGTGAGTTTCAAAACTTTGTAATCAATCATGAAGGGCGTATTGATACCATGATATCGATATGTCGAGTTGCTCATCAAGTATCAATACCACGGGTGTATTCGGAAATGTATTCAGAGTGTGGGCCGCTACACTTTGACCATTCGGAAACCCAGTGTTGTTGGAATGTACCGTTCCGTAATTCTGAGTGCCACACTATGCGGGTGCCCGGAGCACGCTCTGGCGGCTGCGACTGGGGACACAAAAGAGTCGGGCAGGACAAGATTGAAGCTCTTCAAGCAAAATGCAAGGGTTGTGGGCTAGTGGGAGATTTGAAGGGATTTGACATCAAAACTTTTGTAAATTGTGTTGGGTCGATCCAATACTGGCTGGTATCGTCAAATCCACCAACAACTATATGAGAAAATAGTGCTACAGTTTAAGAACGTTTCTCAACATACAATTGAGAGATTTCGGGATTTCATCATGTATGGTCCATAATTATCATCAAAAGATTCAGAGAATCTGGAAAAATCTCTGCATGTAAGCGGACAAAAAGTTCAAAAGCTGTTATTGGTATGAGGGTGTGTTCGTGCCCATGGTAAGGGAACCAATAACACTGAAAAGTATATCCAGGTTTTGGATCAACATATGCTCTATGTCAGAAGCTCGGGGCTGTGGTGAGTCGTCATTTTCATGCACTTTGAATTTGCGTTGTATCGTATTTTGAAGGCATTAAACATTACCATAGCGATCAGAGAGAGTGTTGCGGCCAGATTAGACGCTCCTTGTGTTTATTATTATATTTCGAAAACACCACAGTTTCCATGCAGCTCATACCATATTATTTTGTTGTATTATTTCCGCCACACCTTAAATGCCGGTCCCTGAAAATATTGTCTGACATAAACCGGTCCGTGGGGCAAAAAAGGTTGGGGACCCCTGCTCTATGTCACTGCTCATTTCAGGATGACAATGACAAGCCATATTCTACATGCGTTAAAACACCACAGCATTGCAGTAAGAGTGCGAGTACGAGAATAGCTTGCCAACAGTCCAGACCTGTCTGCTATTGAAAATGTGTTGCACATTATGAAGCGCAAAATAGTGAATATTTGCAAATAAATAAATAGGATATTTGTGTATTAAATAACATCTTTGTATTGTATTCAGTTGGATATCGGATGCTAATAATTTAGCAAATCTTTGTATTCTTTTATTTATGTTTTACACAACATGTCAACTTTCAGGAAAATCGAGGTGTGCAGTTTTAGGGTATTATCACAGATGCAAGCTTGTTCTACATTTAGCCATCTGTGCATATCCCAACAAATTTCTTCTTTTTTAATTGAATCATACAGTTTGCATTACAGTATTTCAAGCAACTGAATTTGCAAAAAAAATAAATATATGATAGATAGACAACGAATCATCCATTTTTGTGGAGAAAATGTCCCCTCCAAAACCATGACAGTATATTCAATCAGCAATAGACATGAAAATTAACTTCCCCACAAATATCAGTCAACATCTGATGCAACCTACCTCATTTGTGACTTTAGCACCAAAGAGCCAACCTGCTCCTCTCGGGCTGATGGCCCAAGTGTCCACATCTTCCGGATCAGACCAAACCAAATCACAAAAGGCTCCTTTGTGAGGGATTTCCTGGTTCCGCTCAATGGTCCGAATTTGGTCTAAGGTTTTAATATCAGGAGAGAGGCCTCCGTGTACACACAGGATCTGTTCATCCATCAGCTAGCAAAAACAGGGAAAGTGGAAAAACCATTTAATTCAGCAACAGATTAAAAAAAACAAAAACACTGTAGATGTTAAGGGGGTGTAAGCAACAACGTGTTTTCGATTGACAATTAGCCAGACTCTCTTTTCAGTCAGTCTGAAAAGTTATGAAAATGTAATATTCATCAAGGGAAGCCTACTGTACTTATTTCCTCTCCCGTCTTTACGAAAAACATTGCCTGGTTCTGATAAAACTGTTGCTAATACAGGAGCCATGGCAAATTGAAATTTTCCTATTCTCGGCACTGAATTTTGAAACTGAATCCCTAACTTCCATACTTATCTCTTCACTAGGCAGTAATAAGCCTAAGCCATCCATAATGATGTCTGAATCAATTCAAACATGGGGATAAATAAAGTTTTCTGAATCTGAATCTGAAAAACAAATACAGTGGACCCTTGTTATTTCTGGGGGATAGGAACTGAGCCGGTCTGCGAATAGCGAAATATGTACGTGTAACTGACCACAAATGAAATGCATTGGGTGAAAAGAAACACACACGCGCATGCGTGTGTGTGTGTATATATATATATGTGTACATTAGGGTGGTCCATTTTGGAAAAGTTTGTCGGATTCGTCGGGCCGGGTCGGAAATCTTGTCGATACTATGACACAAGGATGTGTGCAAAATTTTATTCCGATCGGATAATTTTATCCCGTCCCGCAGAGCGACCAAAGTTTCCCCTATGGAAAGAATCTTACGGGGCTGAATGGTAGTACGGTTTCTCCCGTACAGTAAGGATTTTGTTTTGCTCAGTTCGCACTTGCAATAATTCAAAGACGGAAGACAGGAACGCATGTATTGCAAAAAAGGCAACCGTGGTGATCCTGCAACACTGGTGAGATTGTTGGTCCATGTTAACTGGTCCATCTGTCTATCTGTACATCTGTCTACATCGCGCGACTGTCTGGAAGTGATCCGATCCGTTTTGCATTTTTTTCAGGCCGGGAGTGGTGC